CTCTCCTCTTGCATTTTAGTATAAACAGCAAGAGGCCAGCAAGTACCTTTATTACTTTCTGGAAGTCTCCTCAGTCTAATCACCCACTTCACTAGGTACATTTTCTACTTCTGTATTTCCACAGGTGACAGTGTTGCTACATTTTTTCGCCAATACAAAATAAGAATTTTCTTACTTACCTCCAGTTTCCATAAGGTTTTCCTCTCTTTACCTACAGCCTCCTCAAAGGCATCATCATTCTAGAAACAGTTTCAGGGCTTTTTGAGCTTTTACCTCAGAGACCTGCTGTCTTCCAGCCACTGCCTGGTTCCAAAGCCTTGCCCATATTTCAGGGTTTTGGTATGACAGCTCCCCACTTTCAGGTACCAAAGTCTAAATTAGTTTTCTATCGCTGTGTAACAAATTACCATAAAATGCAGTGGCTTGAATAAACGTTTTTTTCTTTTAATCAGTTTCTAAGAGCCAAGCATCTTACTGATTCTAGATCAGGATTTGTCATAGGTTGTAGTCTAAACGTTGGCTGGGACTGTAGTCATCTGAAGGGCCACCTGGTGCTGAAGGCTATACTTCCAGGAAGGCTCACTCACATCACTATTAGCAAAAGACCTTTTTCTCACTGGCTTCTGGTGAAATAATGTGCATCTTTCCATAGGACCACTCGAATTACCTCACAACATTGGCAGCTGGCTTCTCCTGTAGCATTCGTTCTCAGTGGGGACAGTACCCTCTCAAGAGGGTAAAAATTGGTTCTTGATGAAGATGGCAAAAAAAGTCTCAGATTTTACAATGGTTTGTAGCTTTCCAAAAACCCATGATACAAAAACAGATGTACAATATGTTTGTGGCTTTAACAGTTTATTGGAGGACTATTAGGAAAATAATGTCCAGAAAGCTCCTTAGGTGCACAACAATGGAAAAAGGTTGAGAAACAATGCTCTAGAGTGAGTCCTCTAAGCAAGAAGGTAGCTCTGTTACTTTGTATTCTTTAACTGTTGTATAAAAAATTGCCTTTTATGATTAATGTTAGAAATAACACACATTGTCCCTTCTGCATATTCTTTTTGTTGGAAGTGAGTCTCTTGAAGGAAGTGTCAAAAGTGTGGATGTTTTATTTTGTATTTATTTATTTATAACATTTTATTTATTCATGAGAGACACACAAAGAGAGAGGGAGGCAGAGACACAGGCAGAGGGAGAAGCAGGCTCCACCCAGGGAGCCTGACGTGGGACTCCACCATGGGTCTTCAGGATCACGCCCTGGGCTGAAGGCGGCGCTAAACCGCTGAGCCGCCTGTTGCCCAAGTGTGGATGTTTTAAATTTTTTTTTTTTTTTTTTTTTTTTTATGATAGCCATACAGAGAGGGAGAGAGAGAGAGAGAGGCAGAGACATAGGCAGAGGGAGAAGCAGGCTCCATGCACCGGGAGCCCGACATGGGATTCGATCCAGGATCAGTGTGGATGTTTTAAACCACCATTCCATGAAAAGAAAGACAAAGGCATTCCAGGCAGAGGAAACAGCAAGGGCAAAGACCCAGACGTAGGAAGGAGTTAGTATGCTTGGGGAACAGAGAGGTAGCTAGTGTGGGTAAAGCTAGTGAGAAAAAGAAGAGTGACGTGAGATGAGACTGGAAAAGTACATCAGTTAGGGCCTTGTAGACCCCATAGAATCTTTTAATTTTATTCTAAGTATTTAAACAGGGAGTCACATGACATAGTTCAGGTTATAAAAGATCACTCTAGTGACAGCTGTGTGGAGGATGGATTGTGACAATAGGTGGAACCAGTGTAAGCATGGAGACCAATAAGAAGACCACTATAGTAGTAGGTGAGCGATCATACAGGCTTTGTTTGACTAGAGAGGTAGTAGAGGAGACCAAAAAGGTAGACGTGCTGTACTTGGTGAGCAGAAGCTCCAGTACTTGTGGGTAGATTGGGAGAAGGGAAGCATTGCCCACATTTTTGTTTTGGGGAAAGTTGGTGCTGGTCACAGATGAGAAGACTGGGAGAAGGACAGATCTGAGTAGAAATGAAGAGTTGCTGTTTCGGCATGTTAAGTTTGAGTAGAAAGGGAGGAAATAAAAGCAGAAGGGGGAGAAATCAAAATTCAAAAAAAAAATTGAAAGATATTGCTCTTTGGCTTATATTCTTTTCCCATCAGCTCTTTTATTTTTCTCTGTGAGCTAAGTATACATAGCCTTTGCCACGTTTATATTAGTTACTCAAAATGAGTGTCAACTGTTGCTTTTTCTTTGAATTTAATTTAAGCTTTTATTGATTTTAATTTTTTAAAGATTTACTTATTTATTTTAGAGAGTATATGCCCATGCACAAGCGGGGGGAGGGGCAGAGGGAGAGGAAGACTCTCAAGCAGATTCCACCCTGTGTGCAGAGCCTGACGTGGGGGTTGATCTCACAACTCTGAGATCATGACCTGAGCTGAAATCAAGAGTCAGAAGCTTAACCAACTGAGCCACTCAGGTGCCCATAAGGTCTTTTTTTAAAAGGGTCTAGAAACGTTATAATCTAGAATATAGGTATAAGGATTATTTTTATGATGAATTTATTGGGTTAGCACAGGTTTCTTTATTTTTTTTGAAAAAAGATTTTATTTGTAAGTAATCTCTACACCCAACGTGGGACTCAGACTTACAACCCCGAGATCAAGAGTCACATTCTCTAGTGATGGAGCCAGCCAGGCGCCCCCCAACCCCCAGTTTAGCACGTTTCTTTAAAATGGTTTTCCTTTTTACAAAAGTAATAAAGATTTACTGATAATCTATAAAAAACAGATTAGCAAGGAACTGAACATGAGAATCATCCTCAGTCATGTTACTCAGAGAAAACCATCATTAACCCCTTAGTGTATATTCTCTAGTCTTTTATTACATAAGCACTTGTGCACACACACACACACACACACATATACAAATGAACATGAACTACACTATTTTGAATTGTGGAGCAGTTCCACAAAATGGTAAAGATTAATATTAACTTTTCACTGCTTAGTTGAGAAAACAGATGGAATGAGTTTGAGTTATGTGAGGTATATAATAGGATATCAAAATTTAAGAATATGATTTTTTTTGCAGTCTGGAAAATCCCTCGAGGGAATAATAGTTTGGCTTTTAGTTTAGTAATTAAATCTGCAGAAAGATAGCCCAAATAATACTGTCCATGACAGTAATACATGCTTTTCTCTGCTTTTGTGAAAAAGGTGGAAATGACCTTCCACAGCATGCAGACAGACATCAAGGCCATTTTAAGAAAGTACATTGTATTGTAGATCAGTTGTGGGGATTAGCATTATTTATCTCCTTTCTATTTAAGATACATACCTACGTTGTAGGCCAGAATACAACTGTTAACCAGTGTTCTCGCGAGTCATCTGTTAAATTATAAGTTCAGTAAAATCTGTTCAGGAAAAACTCACTATATATTTTGGAAAAGATACCAACATTAATTAAGATTTAATTTGGGGTCATTTTTAAGGATTAGATCTTTGGTTTTTATGAAAATTCCTTTATTCTTACAGAATATTTATTACTTGATATTTGGCTGACATGTCATCAAAGCACTTCACCCTCACTTAGGAAGCCAGGTCTTTAGTTGGAATCCTTTTCAGAGAGAACACTTCTTGTATGAGCATTGTCATAAGAAGGAAGACATGATGTTTCATCTTGTTTGTTGGGTAAAAGTCATTCAGCAGTGTTTTTACTGGCTGCCTAAGCACAGTCAGTGCTCTACAAAAGTTATGTGGCTCTGCTGTTGTTTTAGAATAATACAGCTGAGTGGCAAAATTCACCTTTCATAAATTCAATATAAATTATTTAAAAGCAAATAAAATGTAACGAGTATGGTAATAGTGCCATTCACTTGGCTGGGTGTTTGGGGTATAAAAATGAGGGAGATGGGTTCCCTATTATTAGGGAGAATTTTTTAGTCTTTATAGTTTAATGGAAGTGAAGGGCCAGGAGGCTTATTAATTAGAAAATGAAGTGATTGGAAATACATTTGTATTCCCCTTGGGAACAGAAGGAGTGTTTAATTCACACTGGGGAAATGAGAAAGGCTGAATGTTGAAAGATGGTTAGCAGCTAAGGGGGTGAGGAGGGAAGGATGTTACCAGTATGTGTACATAGAGGAGGTGGAAACTCAAGTTTTTTTTCTGAAACCGGTGGTGAGTTGGGTGTACACTGTATTTATATTATCTGTATGTCAGATGACTTTACTAATAAGTTTTTTAATCATTAGGCCTTGGAGTTGATTTATGGTTGTTAATGTGCTGAAAGTAAGAATTTCTTACTGTATAGAAACTAGAGGCAGAGGTAGTATAAGTGAGAAATAAAAGCAGGTGAGTAAGTTTATATATTATTAGCCTTTTAGGGAAAAGTTTTCATTTTGAGGAAACATTTGTACCGCTTGGAAATTAAGATTTCTTTAAAAAACTGTATCTAACCATATGCTTTCTCTTTCAGCTTTTCAGTTTCAAGAAAGATTTGTTTAGAAATACTCAATTTTCAATCTTTTGTTGTATGCTGTATACAAATATGTTTCATCCTTTTTATTTTGATGAAAGCATTTTCTTTTCTTCTTTTTTCTTTTTTCTTTCTTTTTTTTTTTTAAATAAGCTCTACATCCAGTGTGGTGCATCAACTCAACTCAATGACCCTGAGATCAAGAATCACTGAGCCAGCCGGTGACCCCATTGCTGAAAACATTTTCATTCTGGGCTATTAATTTTTTTTTTTTTTTGGCGCTTTTATCTTTTATTTATTAATTTTTTTTTAAACTCATGCTTCTTGAAGGATAGTTATCATTTACAATTTGTGATTTCTTTGGGAGTTTTTTTTGTTTGTTTAAGTTACAGACTGCATTATTTGGGCTAAGATCTAAAGATTATACATAAAAAGTCAATGTTTCTAAGTACAGACTTGATTGTGCTGTTCTATGTTAAATGCTTAAGAAAATAATCATATGGAATTATTTTTGTTTTTCAGCCTTTCTAAGAAAAGTCTACAGCATCCTTTCTCTGCAAGTTCTCTTAACTTCAGTGACAGCCTCTTTTTTTTTATACTTTGAGTCTGTACGGACATTTGTACATGAAAGGTAAGGTGATGAGTCTGAAACATTTTCAGCTGCTGCTTATGATCAAAAGGCCATATTATAAGCAAAGTTGTTTTTTCTGTTAACTTCTGAGGCTGGAATGTAAAAAAGGTTCATTATTACCTCTCATACATCTAGTTTTGTTTTGATAAGAAACATGTTCTACAACATAGTATTTGCCTCTGAACTTCTTAGCATATAGTTTTGTAGGGTTAAACCTTCATCTCCTCAAATAGTATTAAGAATTTTTACTGTATTTAGCTTTTTTAAAAAGGGTTTTTTTTCTTTTATTATGCTTAGCCTGGTCCCCAAAGCCTAAGATAGTGCTTGAAAAATAAAAGTGCTTAAATAAATAAATAAATAAATAAATAAATAAATAAATAAATAAGCAAGTTTAATAAATGTGTGTGTAATTTATCTTAGTGTTGGCTCATGACTAGGGTAATTTCACTGAGAAATTACACTGAGAAAAGGAGCTTCATATGGTTCATCACTAATTTAAGAGCTGACCTCCAAAATAATTATTTCCTTGGCAAAAAGTTTTATAGATTTTTATATTAAAGGAAAAATAAGGAATGAATATTTTCTTGGAAGTAGACAATTTCTATCATCCCTCCCCCTCCAAAAAAAAAAGTGTTTGTTATTTAGGTAAAGTTCTTTAATTTAAATTACAGTTAATAGTAAATGCATATAAAATTTGTTTATTGTTTATTGTTTAATAGCTATTCTTTACTGTATTTCTGTCAAAAACAGTATGCTAATTGTAAAAAGTATTCAAATACATAGAAGTTCATGAAAAAGGAAATGTCTCCCCCATTTATTGTGGGCTCTTTTCTTTGTCTTGCTGCTCCTCCCCAATTCACATTCCTCAAATTCCTTGAATGGAAAAGTAATTTCTTTTGACAGTTTGGTGTAGTTCCTTCCAGATTTCCTTTTCTTACTTTCACAAATAAAACATACAAATTTTATTAAATGGGCTAATACTATTTACACTGTTTTTAAACTTAAAACTGCTTTTAATTTTTTCTTTCAGTCCTGCCTTAATTTTGGTGTTTGCTCTTGGATCTTTGGGTTTGATTTTTGCATTGACTGTAAACAGACATAAGCATCCCCTTAACCTGTACCTGCTTTTTGGATTTGTGAGTATTTTGACAATTTCTGTTACTTTAACATTTATTCCCGTGTTTTAACTTTAATTGAATGCAAATAATATATAATAGTAGCAGAGCAAAATTAATGTTTTTAATAAATTAAAATATTTTAGGAAACTACTTGCAATGTTCTAATCTTTTAGAATTTTTAACCTTTGTCAGTTTCAGGGTTTTTTCCTGTGAATATTATGGTACAGCAGAAAAAAAAAATCATGAATTGGAATCTCATGACCTGGCTTTGCCACTTTCTCGTTATGTGACATTTGGCAGGGTGGTTAATTAACTTTTTTGTACCTAAGTTTGCTCATATGTAAAATGAACATATTAAAGTGGATTATCTCTGTGATACTTTGAACCTCTAATATTCTGTGATTTTCTTGGGAAAAAATTATAGCTTTAATTTCATAGACCTTAAATTGAAATCTTTCTGATTAACTTCTGTGTTTTTTTTTTTAATCTTAGTACTCTGTTCTTTTAAAGGACCGCTTTGCTCAATTGATGTGCTCTACTAACTTGTTTTATTATTATTATTATTATTATTATTATTTTTAATTTATTTATGATAGTCACAGAGAGAGAGAGAGAGAGAGGCAGAGACATAGGCAGAGGGAGAAGCAGGCTCCATGCACCGGGAGCCCGATATGGGATTCGATCCCGGGTCCCCAGGATCGCGCCCTGAGCCAAAGACAGGCGCCAAACCGCTGTGCCACCCAGGGATCCCTACTAACTTGTTTTAAAATGATAAGTAGGGAACTTAACTTTAGGTCATGTTTGTTTGGATGTTTGTGAAAATGAAAACCCAAACTACTACCTATAAAAACCAAGCCTATATTTATGACCAGAGTGAGTTGGCAAGGCTCAAGATAGATATTTTTAAAATTATTTTTCTTGTTCTCTTATCCAATATGATTTTGGGTTCTAACCTAAAAATTTACTTCAAAACATTTCAAACTAATATTAATAATATTTATAGTCCAATAAGAGTGAAAATGCTATTTATCAGATTCACTTGCTTTAACATAAAGAAACTTTGTGAATTCCGGTAACAAGTTTATATTAATATTATGAAAGAAAAGCTCACGACTTCAGAAATTTCAATTATAGGAAAGGTTATTCATTTAAATCATAGGTTCTTTTGTTTCCAGGTATCAGTATCCTCACCTAAGTTCTCTCGAGCATGGAGTTTATATAAAAGCTTGGGAACTCACCAAGAAGGGGCCTTAAGAAGACAAGGAACTAGAGGAACGTTCTAGAAAAATGCCGTTGTAGGAAATTCAGTACTCATTTTGGCAGCACATACACTAAAATTGTAGGAAATTCAAAGCAAGAATTGGGGGTCTCCTCTCCCTTCTTCCATTACATTTCTTCTCTTAGAGCTGTCCTTATATATAGTTTTCCTCTTTCATAGCTTTTAGTTTTTAGATGGTTTACTGTGTGCCTTCATATGGTTCATTAACATTTAGCTTCAGCTCCTGCTACCATTGCTTCATTCTTTAAGTTTAGATGCCTAAGTGAGAAAGAATCTGATTGGCATAGTTTATTATTGGCATGGGTCACATTGTGGATTGTTAGCCAATATAAAGCCAAGGGCTGCCAGCTCCTACTCCAGTCATCTGTGACCCAGGAGAGAGGTGGGGTGGGGGTTTAGGGAGGGGCACAAAAAAAAAAAAAAACCAAAACCCAGCATCATATTTAGTTCCTCTTAAACTCTGCAAAAAGCTTGCCACCTTTCAGAAAGGCTATGATTGATTTCTATGTGTATGGATCAACTTTTGCCCAGCAGGGAGAGGACCTCCTAGAAAAGTATCCACCAAATGCATATGAACAAGATGGTCACAGCTACAACTATTGATCATACCCATAGGTAAAAATGTTTTAACATATAAGGAAGCATGGAAAATACATTTCAGATTATTCAGAAACCTCTCATACTAGATTACTTTGTCCTGCTCTACCAAAGTAAGAAAGGAGATGGCTCTAACCTTGTTTTAGGTGTGTGTGTGTGTGTATGTGTGTGCGTGTGTGTTCATATACTTAAAATAGGGTATTATTTTAGGGTGGTGTTATATTTTCCTAGTCTTACCTGTTCTCCTGTTCGTTCATATTATCATGTTTCCTTTGGATGCTTTGAGTATGGGGTAGGATTTCTTAACCTAAAATTATGTCACAAATATCAAGAATGAGGTTTAATCATATTTTTCCAGAAAAAAATGTCATCTTTTCTACCACTTCTCCAACACTTCCAACATTATAACAAAATGTGGCAGTGCCTTTCTTGCCTCTAGATCAATGTACAATTTTAAGGCCATTTTTGCTCTAGTTCTGATAGGTTTCTTGATTTCAGGTGGGGAGAGTTACAGGGAGTGCTTCTACCAAGAGTATGAATATATAGCTACTGACGTTACTTCTCGCTTTACTGTTGTGATATGGTCTATGAGGTAGTTGGTAAAATCTAACTCTAGAGTAAGCATTTATTTATTTATTTTTAAAGATCTATTTATTCATTTGACACCCATACACACACACACACACACACACACACACGGCAAGCAGGGGGAGGTGCAGAGGGAGAGAATCTCAAGAGGACTCCATGCTCACTGTGGAGCTCAAAGCAGGGCTGGATCTGTGGACCCTAAGATCACGACTTGAACTGAAATTGAGAGTCAGATACATAACTGACTGAGCCACCCAGGCATCCCTAGAATAAGCATTTAAAATAAAACAAGGGTATGTAGTTAAGGAGAAAGAGAAGCTAGAGGGTAAAACTCAATATCCCTAAATCTATAATTTAGGATAGGAGTTCAGCTACAGGTGACATGGGTGAAACGAGATGGTTTACTTCTCTTTCATGTAAAAGTCTGTGCACTGTTTAGTGAAGTTTTCAGGGACCCAGCTTCCTGCTATGGTTCAAGGACTCCTAAAGTCTTGTATTGGCATGAAATAGCTCCCACCATATCAACATTCCATTCAGTTATTTACAAAAATGAGAAAAGGGAGAGCAAGCCCCTTTGCTTTTAGTAGTTGTATACCTGTCTACTCACATTCTGTTGGCTAGAATATAGCCCCATGACCAGATGTAGCTACAGGGGAGGCTGAGAAATATGTTTAATCTGAACAGCTATGTGTCCAGGTAGAAATTCTGTTACTAGGGAAGAAAGAGAGACTAAATATTGGGAGACAGTTTCAGGACTGCCACACTAAAGCGCTATGTAAATATTTTATTCTTCCTATGTTTGTGTGTGATGTTGAAGTTTTATGAATATAGATATCATTTGCAATTTCATTTTTACTTTCAGAAGGTGAGAGAAATAGAATCTCCAATATTATTTCTGTATCTTCCTGTTACAGGTATAAAAAAATCTAGTCAGGGTTTAAAGAGTGATAGGATCACTATTAGAATGTAAATATTCTCAGTACATTGAGGTCTCATTTTCATTATGGTAGGCTTATTATATGTCCCATGTAATTCATGAGGCTGCTCTGAAGCTAAAATGGGATTGTATATGGGAAGTCACATGGAACTCTTAGAAATTAGGACATGTACATGACAATAGTGTAAATTTTATGTGTATTTATGTAATTTTAGTTTCTTTTTTTAGACACTATTCGAAGCTCTGACTGTGGCCTTTGTTGGTAAGCCATAATTGTGCTTCTATATGTTACAGTAACTTTTAACGTAGATAAATCTTTTGAGTTAAAAGGTGCTTGGGACTAAAGTTTAACATCATGAGATGTCATAGTTCAACTATATTGCATAGGATGAGGAATTCCATCACATGAGCTGAACCTCTCAAATTGCTGCACTGAACTGTGCTTTATTATTATATCCTCATATTTTATCAAATGACCCTACAAGAAACTTGGTAATTTCTGTTTTATATTTGGTGTTAAGTATGTGTCTGAAAGGAAGTGTCTGTTATAATTATTTGATGTACTGTATGTAATGCCTTAAGTAAAAAATTTTGTGATTTATTAACAATAAAAATTCAGATTGTCTCAAAATGATTAACCTGGGGTACAAAAAAAGTTGGAATGAACTATTACTGTCAATAATAGTAAATTGTTACTCATTATGTTTAATATATTTATCTTTTCCTATTTTGTCATTACTGCTTTTAACCTTTCTATGATAGTTTTATTTAATCTATATATTGTTCAGTAATTCACTTCCTTTTGTAAAGGAATCACAATCTAAGTAATAATAACTACTAAAATAAATAGAATTGAAATTTTTCAACATAGAGCGGAAGGATTATTATTAATATTTACTTATAATGTTATATCTATTAATGTTATTATCAAGTCTATCTCTGTCCTCTCTGGCTCCCTCCATTTGTAACAGATTTAGGGAGAGCTCTATTTCATGGTTATTAGAAATACATAGGATGGGGTAATCTGAGAACATTATTTTCCTCATTAATTGTAATATCCTTTCCACCTAATCTTACGCCGAAGTTGTTGACAAGAAGCACAATAATCTCATATTTTTTCATGTCTGCATTTGCTTTCTTAATCCTATAGTGATAGAGAAATTCCAATAATGTAGTGTTTTTAGGAATAGATATTAATCCTTGAAAAATAAAAAATGACTTAATGGTTTGGGTTCAGAGCACTTCCTTTAAAGGGGATATAATTTAGCATTCTGTTAAAATGCTAAGCAACTGTATTACAATTATAATAGTTATAGTCAATCTAGGTGTTCATTCTAAAATTTCAGAAGAGAATTTGGTATGTATTCAGGAAACCCCCAATTATGTATTCGTTGTATACATTTTTGGATATAAAGCAATTAGCGGTTGGTTCCTGGTCTCTGCAGGGTTGGTGAATGGTAGACAGCCCTGGTATTCCTCTTGCCTCGTTTCTTTGTTCGGGCTGATGAACTGGGTATACAGTTAACCAAGCGTTTGCTGGAATTGCTGCTACTGCCCAGGAATTCCCAGCCAACCACAGGACCCAGAGTCATCTGTATTGATATTTCAATTATATAGCACAATCACCACAGATGGTGATAAAACTAAGCTGGGACAGAGATAAGCAAGAGTAATTCTATCATATCCACCAAACTCTAAGCTAGCTAGCTGTGTCATAGCTCTCTGGTCATTTCTTTAACTTCATAATGATGTGACCATCTTATTTGTTATGAATGACTGTTTATTGCAGTATGGGCTTTATTGTACCAATGTTAAAGGCTGAATAAAGAATCTTTTCATAATTATTTTTATTGGCAACTAGTACAGGAGAAAAATACAGTATTTCTGTTAAATGCCAGGAAAAAAACGGTTTTATATTGAATATGTCTAAATTCATTTTTAATGTGTTTTTTAATTTTACAGTTACTTTCTATGATGTCTATATTATCCTGCAAGCGTTTATACTGACTACTGCTGTATTTCTTGGTTTGACTGTATATACTCTACAATCTAAGAGAGATTTCAGCAAATTTGGAGCAGGGTAAGTTATATATTCATGGCTATGATAGATAAATATCTTTAACATTAGAGATCACCTTAAGAGAAGTGCTATACTGTTAGCTTTGGATATTACCTTTTAAAATGAAGGGTGATGAAGGACACATACGTGGCTGTCAGTTAAGGGTGTAACTCGTGGTTTCAGCTCAGGTCATGATCCCTGAGTGAGGCTCTGTGCTAAGCAGTCTCTTTGGGATTCTCTCTGTCTCCCTCCCACACTATCCCTTGTGCACGTGCTCTCTCTCTCTCTCTCTCTCTCTCTCTCTCACTTGCTCTTGTACGCACATTCTCTCTTCCAAATAAACAAATAGATCTTTAAAAAAATAAATAAAAATAAAATGGACATCTTTCTGAGTAGTAAAGCCAGGCCTTAACACTTCCAGAACATACAAGGAGACAGAAATCATTTGTTTCCGTTCTGTTAAAAGGGAAGAGATTGCCCCCCCACCCAAAAAAAAAAAAAAAAAACAGTTTGCTAGAGAGGCTAGGCTTGTATGCTCTATGAATGCTATGGAACTTACCTAAATTATTTAGGTCTTTGTCTTAACATACATGTTAAGCAAAGCCATCCACTTCTTTGTGGCAGAAACAAGGTAATTGACCCAGGTGTTGGTGATAATCAACATGAACTTCAGAAACTTTTTGACCTATCTTGATAAACCGATATCCTTCTTCAAACTAATAAATACATGGAATGATATTTTTTCTATTAGGATAATGGTACAGTGTTGCCCTCAGCTGGTAAGAATGTATATACTCTTCTAAGCTCACAATGGTTTCCTGTTGACACATCATCAGCATCTTCTGTTCCTTTTCCTGTTGCAACACTAAAAATTTACAAAAGTCTACTCTTGCAAAACATTCTTTCATTCCCCCTTTTCCTGTGGTAATCCAAATTACTAGAAATTTCTACTGGAATAAAATACAGTTGGTTAGCCAACACTAACAATTGTGCAAGATGCTTAACTACTGTTTTAGAATGGAGCGTGATTTAGGGAGAGGCAACATTTTTTTCGTTTTCTGCTTTTTGTGTTTTGGAGGGGATACATAAAGATTTGAAAGATTTGCTGTCTACTTCTTCCCATCTCATCCAACTGTGCCCCTCCTTCCCATCCATTCTAGTGTAATCTCTGGAAGTCCCATTCTGGTAAACATTCTTACCTGTATTTTGGCCTCTTCATAATATATTCGTTTTCCTTCCTTATTTCAGCAAAACTTGATTCCTCCTTGAGAACACTGCTCTCTAGCTCTTTGTTCTCCCACACCCTATGTAGTTTCAGGTGTGTGTGTGGGGGGGATTAGTATTGAAAACTTCTTTAGTCCCCTGCTGCTACTTTCAGTATTTCCTTAGCATGCTGGAAATTCGTTGCTTTAAGGTTGTGTTATCTGGCTATACATTTCCTAATCTTCCTCATTACTCCCACTGATTCCCTTTGTTCAAACCTTCCTTTTTTTTTTTTTTTTTTTTTTTTTTTTTAATTTTAAGTACTGTTGGGGTGCCTGGATGGCTCAGTCAGTTAGGCTCAGTCAATTAAGCATCTGCTTTCAGCTTAGATCATGCCCACAGTCCTGGGATTGAACCGATCCTGGGATTGAACCCCATGTATCAAGCTCCCTGCTAATTGGGTAGTCTGCTTCTCCCTCTGCCCCTGCTTCTCCCCCCCCCCCCCAGCTCATGCTCACTCGCTTTCTCTGTGTCTCTTTCAAATAAATAAAATCTTAAAAAAAAATTCAAGTAGCTTTTACATTCAAGGTGGGGCTCGAACTCACAGCCCCAAGATAGAGTTGCATGCTCTATTGACTGAGCGAGCCAAGCACCCCAAGCCTTCCTCATTCTTGAAAGACTTCATTCAGCATCAAACTACATGTTAGGCCCATCTATCACCTTAACTTCTCAGTGTCTCCGGACCGCTTCTTCAGCAACTTTTCATTTCCCTGCCACAGCTACAGTATGGATCTTGTTGCCACCAGAGATTGCTCCCCTGAAGAAATCTTAAATGCCAGTGTCGGACTTTCTTTCTTAAGTCTTCTACTAGCTCTCTTATTTCTTTGTGCCCCCAATACCTATCTGTTGTGCTTGTTCTTTAACAACTGCTGTTGCTGTAATAAACTTCTTTATCTCAGACCTAGGGGTCTCATGTCTTCTACAGGCATCCATGAAACCATGCTAGACTAATTTATGAGCTTGTGTGTAGGGTAAAACCTCAGATGCTTTATATTCTTAATACCACCTTCCTTACACTCCTTGATGCAGAAGCTTTGTAGTTTTCTTAAGGTTTAAGTATGAAAAAGTAAGTCTTGAGTCCATTTTAGTCCTGAAGGATCTTATACTCTGGTGGCATGATACTTCATTCTAACTTAGGTATTCCACATGTATCCAGAAAAATTCTGTGGCCATTCCAGCAAGAGAATTGTGAGCTGGAATCTCATCATGCCCTTAGTTCATCAGATTATAATACTATGTATACTTAATTTCTGATTTTATTTTTATTTTTTTGTTGCTAAATAGCATATTTTCCATGATTTCAGTCCGTAGTGAGATTCATGTTATGATACTTAGTAAATGATCTTTGTGCACTGGAAGAGAATGTATATTTTGCTGCTCTTGGATAAGTCTTTGGTGAATGTCAGTTATGTCAAGTTGGTGGATAGTATTGTTTAAGTTTTATGCACAATTTGTAATATCAGCATGCTCGTTCTATCAATTAATGTCAAAGTTGTATTGAAATCTCCAACTATAGTGATGGCTTAGAGTATGATTCTCTTATCATTTCTGTAAGTTTTACTTCATGTTATTTTGAAATTCTATTTTTAGATGCATAAACATTTAGGATTGTTATGTCCTCTTGATGACTCTTTAATCATTCTGAAGTTGTTATCTCTGGTAATATTTTTGTTCTAAAACCTACTTTATTAATACAGCTACCCTAGCTTTCTTTTGATTGTGTTAACATGGCACATCATTTTCCATCCTTTTATTTTTAGCTTCCTTGTAGCTTTATAGTTAAAATAGTTTTCTTATAGGCAGCATATGGTTGGCTTTTGCTTTTTGTTTTATCCAATCTGACCATCTCTGCCAGTAATTGGAGTGTTTAGTCGATGTGATTATTCATCTGGTTGGGTTTAAGTTTACTACCTTGCCATTTGTTTTCTTTCTATTTGTCCTGTCTGTTCTTTGTACCTTTTTTCTCTCTTCATTCCTTTGGATTATTTGGTTTATCTTCTTTATTAGTTATTAGCTATAGCTCTTTTAAATAGGGGTTGCTCTAGGTTTTGCAGTATATATCTTTCTTTCCTTCTTCTTACTCCAGAATTTTTATAAGTTTATGTATTTAAATAATCTCTACAACATAGGGCTCGAACCCATGACCCTGATATCAAGAGTTGCATGCTCAAAAAAGAAAAAAAAATTGCATGCTTTATGGACTGAGCCAACCAGGTGCCCCTACAGTATACATCTTTCAATCATCATAATCTACCTCTAAATAATATACCATTTCCTGGGGCACCTGGGTGGCTCAGTAGTTGAGCATCTGCCTTTGGCTCAGGTTGTGATTCTGGGGTCCTAGGATCGAGTCCCACATTGGGCTCCCCGTAGGGAGCCTGCATTCCCTCTGCTTGTGTCTCTGCCTCTCTCTGTGTGTCTCTCATGAGTAAGTAAATTAAATCTAAAATAATAATATGCCATTTCCTATATAGCATATTACATCTCCTCTCCTCTATCTTTGTGCTATCGTTGCTGTAACTTTTAGTTCCACATATGTTATACACCTCATAATTATATTATTATTTTTGTTCTAAACTTTACCCTTCAAAAAGATTTAAACATAGGTGAAGCCTTTTATGTTCACCCACATATTTGTCATTTCTGTTCTCCATTTCTTTGTGTCACTCCAAATTTCCATCTTATACTTCCTCCTAAGGAGATATATAGAGAGAGTATATATCTGCCTGAGAGATTTCCTTTTAATATTTCTTATTTTTAAAAGAATTTATTTATTTATTTATTTATTTATTTATTTATTTATTTATTTATTTATTTATTTATGAGAGAAGTGGGGGAGCATGCATGCGTGCCAGCAGGGTGGGGGGATGGGGGAGCAGAGGAAGAGGGAGACAGAGAAAACATTAAGCAGGCTCCATGCCCAGTAAGGAACCTGATGGGGAGCTTGGTCTCACCACCCTGAGATCATCACCTCAGCCAAAATGAAGAGTCAGATGCTTAACTGACTGAACCACCCAGGTGCCCCCTTCTGATATTTCTTATATAGTGCCAGTCTCTTAATCTCCGCTTTTGCGTATCTGAAAAGAATCTTTATTTCACCTTTAATACTGAATGTTATTTTTGCTGGATGTAGGATTCTAGATTTGTTGGGGTTTTTTTGTTTTGTTTTTTTCTGTTTAGTATTTTAAAGATGCCATTCCATAGTATTCTGGTTTATGTGTTTTCTGACAAAGTCTTCTGTCTTTATCTTTGTTCATGGGGTATATAATGTCTTTTATCCTCCAGCTACCCTTAATATTTTCTCAGGAATTTTCAGTAATTTGATTAACATTTTCAGTAATTTGATTATGATATTCCTTGGTGTGGTTTTTTTCATGTTTCTTCAGCTCCTTGGATTGGCAGTTTAAAGTTTTCTTCAAGTTTGGAACATTTTCAGTAATTGTTTTTCAATTATTTTTATGTATTTCTGTCTTTCTCTTTATTTAGACTTCAACATATATGTTAGGCTTCTTGATGTTGTCCGACAGTTCATGGATACTCATTTTATTTTTTTCCTCCAATTTTCTCTTTGTGATTCATTTTGGTTAGTTTCTGCTGCTGTTTTCATTTTGATAATCTTTTCTTCTTCAGTATCTATAATCTGCTATAACTTCCAACCAGAATATTTTTTAATTTGACATATTTTTTTATTTTTGGAAATTCAGCTTAATTTGTGTCTTTTAAAAATATTAAAAAAATATATATATATCTTCCATTTCTCATGTTGATGCTTTCCTTTAAAACCTCCTTGAATATATGGAACATATTGTTTGTAATGCATTGTTTCCTAATTCTCGCATGTCATTTTTGAATTTGTTCCTATTGATTAATTTTTCTCATTGTTATGAGTCATAGTTCCTGGTTCTTTTTTTTTTTTTTAAAGATTTATTTATTTATTCATTCAGAGAGAGAGAGAAGCAGGCAGAGACACAGGCAGAGGGAGAAGCAGGCCCCATGCAGGGAGCCCGATGCGGGAGTCGATCCTGGGTCTCCAGAATCATGCCCTGGGCTGCAGGCAGTGCTAAACCGCTGCACCACTGGGGCTGCCCTTTTCTTTTCTTTTTTTTTTTTTTTTTAAGATTTATTTATTTATTCATTCAGAGAGAGAGAGAGGCAGGCAGAGACACAGGCAGAGGGAGAAGCAGGCCCCGTGCAGGGATAGTTCCTGGTTCTTTTGCATGTCTTTATGACTTTGTATTAGATGCTGGTCATTGTAAATTTTATATTGTTGGGCGGTGAATCTTTTTGTTTTTCTTTAAATATTTTGGTTTTATTCTTCTAGTGAGCTGTTAAGTTCTTTGGCAACTCTCTGAACCTTTTGACATTTGCTTTTTTAAGTACCTGTTATGTAGGCCCAGAACAGTGGTTAGGTTAGGGCTAATTTGGCCCCACTCTTGAGACAGTACCTTTCTAAGAATTCTTCAGAGCCCCATGTCTTAGGAGGTCTTTCCACTTTGCCTGGGGAGAATGTGCAGTATTCCTGGCCCTGTGTGGACTTTGAGGATTGTTTTGGCTGCTTCTCTATTGTGTTCCTTCCTCCAGCCTTTGTCACTTCTTCACATGTATGCATGATCTGTGCTCAGCTAAAGACTTGAAGGGAATTGTCTGCATACCTCCAGAGCTAGCCGGCTCTCTTCTTGATAGTTCTCTTCTTTCTGGAACTTTGCTCTGTAAATTCTAGCCTCTATGGCCTTTCTGACTTCTCAGTTCTCACCACCTCAACTCAGGGAGACCAGAGGGCTCCATATGGATTCTTGTCTCCATGCTGCAGTCTAGAAACACTTTCTAGCTAGGTCAGTTACAGAGCTTACCTCCTTTGTTTCCTTTGCCTGGGGAATTACTGTGCCGTGCTGCTTGCTGTTCAGTCATACGTTTTGTGTGGTTTTTATTTAAGGAGGGAGGGTAAATTTGACCCCAGTACTTTCTTGTGGCCTGAAGCACCAGATGTGTATTTAGGTTTTTAAGTTTCATATTTGATAATAAAGGACTGACTGCTTAGATGTCATTTGCCATATATTTATACTTTATATTATAATGCATAATTACACATTATATATAATATGTAGGAATGGTAACTCATAAAAGTATATCAGTGGCAAATTAATTATGTGCATAAATTAATTTCTGTAACACATTAGAATAAAAGAGGGAGTACATTGGGAACTTTAATAGATATGCATGTTCACAGACTAATCTGATATTGTTACTTGGTTAAAAAGGCAGTTTTGTTTCACTTATTCATGTATATATTTTCTAGAAGTTTTATAGGCCTCTGTCCTAAAATGCTTCTAATGCTATTTCTGCTTATATCAATATTTTTTTTGTGTTCCAACTGAAAACTTTAAAAGTGATACTTTGAACTAGTTTTGTTCACTATAAAAACAAATGTTGAATAGATGGCTGTTTTTTTCAATTTCTGAGTATTCTACATTATTCATTGTGTATTTATGAACTCTTAAATTTCATTTACTCTTTGGCAAATATCAGGATGGATTTCTTCAGAAAATGTTGCAACAATTTACGTAGTGTTTTGGTAAGGAACGATATTCTAATTTACCAATATTTTGTTTTTATAGACTGTTTGCTGTTTTGTGGATTTTGTGCTTGTCAGGAATCTTGAAAGTAAGTTGTTTTAAAATGGTAACTTGAAATATAATTCTGGCCATGTTAATATAAATAATTTCAAAGCTATGAGAGGTACTTTTATGATAGGACACTTAGTTATAATTATCTGGAACATTTGCATATAGAATGATTAAAAAAATTATCTTTTAAAAAATCAAGGTCTTATGTTAATATCAATTGAAAGAAAGATGAACATATGACTTAAAGTACATAGAAAGAGGTCCTTACTTGTAATTACTAAGTTCCCAGTGGCACATATAATTCTGAAAAAGAAATATATTTTTAAATAATTGATATTTAGGATGCTACTATTTGAAGTCAATTGGGTAATTTAAGAGAAAGGAGGATGTCCATTGACTCATCCATTCATCCTTTCATCCAAAAGAAAGGAGGATGAACCTTGCCTTTTTCTGCTTTTAACATTTGCATTCCAAGTTGTAAAACATTATTAAATATGTATATAGCATAGGTAACTCAAGAGCAAGTAACTTAAGTATTCTTCATACAGTTCTTAAATATAAACTTACTAATTTCTTGCCTATAGTTATTTTTCTATAGTCAAACATTGGAGTTGTTCTTGGCTGCTGTGGGGGCCCTCCTTTTCTGTGGATTCATCATCTATGACACACATTCATTGATGCATAGGCTGTCACCTGAAGAGTATGTATTAGCTGCCATCAGCCTTTATTTGGATGTCATCAACCTGTTCCTGCACCTGTTGCGTTTTTTGGAAGCAGTTAATAAAAAGTGATTGAAAGCAGTATATGGAAACAGATTCATTAAGTAATAAAGTTTGAGATATAATTAACTATTAAAATTTTTTGTGAGTTTCTTCATATGCTACATATTTCTGAGCTATTATATAATATAGTATAATAGTAATATATGTATTACTATTGTATAAAAGTGATTAGAATAATTGAAATTTGTTTATATATAATTATTGGGTTATATACTAATAATATAAATCTTATTATTCCTTATGGTATCTCATTTCTAAGTCCTTGATTTAGAATCTCAGGTAGAGATATTAAAATTCTGTTTTTCAATTTTTTTCAATCCTAAATTTACCATATATAGATTGTTCATCTGCAATTCAAAAGTAATTTCATGACTAGAGTATCAGTTTATCTGTGTCTAGTGATTTTATCTAAATTTTCCTTAATGTTAGATTTGATTTTGATTTTATGGTATTTGTGTCCTTACCATTATAAATTTTCTCTCACTAAGAGATTTTTTAATCTTACTTAGAAAGGAAAAAATACAAAAGATAAATTCCACAGAATTACTCAGCAGTAATATTAAAATTAAAATGTTAATGAAATTCATTATAAAATGTTTTAAAAATGAGATGTCTTCTTGAAAGTCAGATATATTGACATAAAATTTGACATTATTTTTTTAAAGTACAGATTCCATTTAAAAATTCTGGCAGTGTACCTGTGGCCAAGCAAACTTTCGTAAATTCCTTCACTGTATTAGTTTCTGGGGTGCCATAACAAAGTACTACAGACTAGGTGGCTTAAATAGAAATTTATTTCCTTACAGTTCCAGAGGCTAGAAGTCTGAGATCATAGTTTGGTTTCTTTTGACATCTCTCTAGGCTGGTAGGTGGTCATCTTCTCCTTGTGGTTTTACACGGTTTTCTCTCTGTACTTGTCTGTGTCCAAATTTCCTCTTACAAGGACACAAGTCATATTGGATTGGAGCCTACCCTCATTTTACCTTAATTACCTCCTTAAATACTCTGTCTCTAAATACGGTCACATTCTGTGGTACTAGGGGTTAGGACCTTGTAATAATCTGAATATTTGTTGTCCCTCCCCAACCCCCCAATTCACATGTTGAAACTTAATGCCTAATGAATGAATAGGATTAGTGCTTTTAAGAGGTGACCCCACAGAGATCCCTCACCCTTTCTGTCACATGAGGTAACAGTGAAAGGACACAATCTTTGAACCAGGGAAAGATTACCTTTAACTAGACACTGAATCTGCCAGCACCTTGATCTTGGACTTTCCAGTCTCTAGTATCTTGTTATGGCAGCCCAAATTGACTAAGGCAGACTTCATCATATGAATTTTGGGGGGCACAACTCCACCCATAACACTTGCTAAGCATCATTCCCCCTGCTCTTAATTTGAAATAAGTAAAATCGCTTTAACCTCTGGTGAGTTTTAGATGTAAATGTGACTCCATCCTTATCAATTAATTGTTGAATACTCAATTGAATGATGCTATATTCAGGTTTAACATAGCATAGTAGGTAAGAGCATTTAAATGGGAATCCTTGCTGTGCAACCGATTATGTGACTTTTGGCAAGTTACTCATCCCTTCCTAATTAGGTCTTTTGCCTCTTTATATTGGGAGTCGTAATACCTACCGTATTGGACTTTCATAGGATTTAATGAGATGGATATGTCATATAAACTAAGTGCTTGGTTAATGTCAGCTACTATTATTAATTCTTACTAGCAGTCCAAAGGCAGAATGTGCTGAGTTGTGACTAAAAGATACTAAATAAGCAAGAACAGATTTGATTTTTTTTTTTTTTTAATTCATGAGAGACACAGAGAAGAGAGGCAAATACTTAGATAGGAGGAGAAGCAGGATCCCTGCGAGAAGCCCAATGCAGGACTTTATCCCAGGACCCCGGACCCCGGGATCCTGACCTGAGGCCAAGGCAGATGCTCAACCACTGAGCCACCCAGACGTCCCAGATTTAAAAAATGTAAAACAGTGCCATTCTTTTCAGTAAGTTATTTTTTGGTTTGGAAAATAGTTTCTTAATAAAAATAATGCAGACAGGTAGTTCATTTATCTTTTTTAAAGGACTTAAATAAATTTTTAAAAATGACATTTTTCTGATACGACAAATATAATTTCTGAGAGCGTGAAGAGATCACAAGACCAAGAAGTTTGAAAACCACCAATGCAGACTGTCATATTTTATCAGTGAACCATTATTATTCATTCATTCTTCTGCTGAAGAATTTTATATGGTTCCTTTTTTACTGGCAAAATCAGTGCTGCTATATGTATGTCCCAGTGTTCATAGATAGGAGTTTGCCTACATAGGGGAATATACCTAGAAGCAGAATTGCTGGATACAGACAACTTCAGTTTTTTTTATAGTAAGGTGAATATATGCAGACTCAAGAAATATTTTTAAAAGTTAAATTAGCAGGACTTGGGTAGAGTGGCAACTCCACACGCAAGGTACAAAGTATAGTCAGAGGTAGGAGGAAAACAGCAGTATCTGGGAACTTTTTATGGCATGTAATTTTGGGAAAGGTGCGGTGGGCTCTGGCTGCCTGCCTACATTTTTTTTCTGCAGGCCTCCTCACACCTGGCTTTGATCCACTTGATGCACTTTGGCGGCTTAGTGGTGTCAGCAGCCAGCTGTGGGCTTTTTTCTTTTTTTTTTTTTTTTTAAAGATTTTATTTATTCATGAGAGAGGCAGAGACACAGGCAGAGGGAGAAGCAGGCTCCACACAGGGAGCTGTGGGCTTTTTTCGAACAGGTGGGAACTTAGGCTCTTTTTCTTGTTCATCCTTGTAGAGCTTTGCCTTCAAGCCCCTACCACCTAGGGTCTGGACAACATGGGGTCACCATCTGAATCCCAGCCTTGGTAAAAGCCCTCACTGAGTATTCAGATTGGGAGTTGCATGGGCAAGGCCTGACTGCAGAGGCCGTTGTGGCTGGTCTGATTGCATAGCTTGCCTTGCAGGTGGGGAAACAGCCCACTTCCAGGCGGGTATTCAGTCCTGCCCACTGTGCCTCCAGTCCCAGGGGCTTCTTCCAGCTTGGTGAGGGAGCTGAAGCAATGTTCGCTGTGACTTTTGAGCCTCATCCCTCCATGAGGGGCCAACGTGTCCTGGAGCCTGTAGTTCAGTCATCATAGAGCCTGTCACAGAGTACACACTCAAATGTGTGAATGAAGAAATGAATTAAGGATTTTTAAATACACTAAGGTCATTTATTTTTAGAATTGCTTTTATGCAAATTGATGAGGAACATAAGTACTTTTTATTTTTCTAAAAATATTTTATTTATTCATGAGAGAGAGAGAGAGAGAGAGAGGCAGAGACACAGGCAGAGGGAGAAGCAGGTTCCATGCACCGGGAGCCCGACATGGGACTTGATCCCGGATCTTCAGGATCATGCCCTGGGCCGAAAGCAGGTGCTAAACCGCTGAGCCACCTGGGGATTCCCGAGGAACATAAGCTTAAAAGGTTTTTGGTTTTTTTTTCAAAATGCAGTTTATGATTGTTTTTAAGTCTTAGTAATGCAGAATTTTGGCATATATTTAACGCCATGACATTTTCATAAGTTTTTCCTGGTGCCAAGTGTCTATTCAAGTCTTGGCCTGGTATGTTAAATGAGGTGCAGTTCATTAGGACTATTAGTGAGCTTTCTCTAAAATGCAATGTGAACATGTATTTTTGGGAGAGGCAGCTAAGATCTAATATATGGCTAACACATGGACATTCACTTGCTTTATAAAGGGTTAATCTTATTTAAAGAAAGCAGGTTTCTCGTGCATGCTTCTTTTTTATATACCACATTATGAGTTTTTTTTTCGGCTGCTAAAAAACCCCGATGTATTTTGAGTATAGTAATTTCCATATGACGCAAGTTTTCTTCAAGGACACAAATTTAAAGAAAAGTACACACAAATGATCTCAGAAGGAACTTTTCCTTTACCAGCAACCAGACAGGAATTTACTGGGCATCATTAAAAAACATTTACTGTGTCTTGGTGTGTGTTGTAAATCTCTGGAAAATGCAGCTCAGCAAACAGTAGGGCGCATGTTTGAAATCATGTAAAAATGAGGAAAGCTACCCCTTGCCGAGTCCTTCTCACATACCCAGCATCGGTTAGCTCGTGTTGGCTTGCGTCTACGGATGAGGAATCCCGGCTCTGAGATACCTAGGAAGATGCCCCAGGACACCTGCCTGCTCCAAGGCCCACGCTGCCGGCCGGGGGTCGTAGGCAGCTGATGAATCGCTAAGTCCTTCCCCGGAAACATAATGCACTGTATGTTAGCTGAATTCAAAGAAGATATATTTTAGGACCACAACAAAGCCTAGGCAATCAGGGGCATATGTAAAATAATACTAAGAACTGGTGTTTGTGGCCCACGTGCTCGGCCTCAGGTCTGCTCTCCACTGAGTGGCTATCCGGTGCGCGCGGGCCCAGCAGGAGCAGCCTGGCCTTGCCTTGGTCTCCGGGTTGGTAAAGGCTTGCTTTCGGGGACAGGTGTGAATGAAGCGTGCGTGCCGGTCGGTCGTGCCTCTTACGGCGCCGCTGGGGAGTTCGGGCGACCAGCACCGGCGTCCGCCGCGGGCGGGGACGCGCAGGTGGGCTCTGAGCCCCCGCCTGCAGCAGCCCGCGGCGTCCAGACCGCCGGGACCCCACGGCGCACGCGCCCAGGGGAAGGAGGAAGTGCGTCAGCGCCAGCCTCCGGGAGACCCCGCCCCTCGGCGCGCCCCGGGGCATCTTGGGGGCTCCCGGGGGCACGCGCAGAGAGGCGGCCCGGAAGGCGGAAGTGCGGCGGGTTCCGGTCGGCGTGGCCTTGCGCGCGGTGACCCTCCTCCGAGTGTCCCGGTGAGTCCTGTGCTGCCCGCGCTCGGTGGGGGGGGGGGGGGGTGTCTCGTCGCGGGCCTGGGCCGTGTGGGGGCGGGGCGGGGACCGGCGCCTCCTGCGCTCTCGGTGGTGGCCCTCGGGCTCCGTGCGACGTGGGGCCCTCCTGTGTCGGTCGTCTCGCCCGGGCAAGAGCATTCCTGATAATATAAAAAGCCACACTGAGAAAAGCTGAAAGTCCATCTTTGCTTTGTCTTCCAGTTTTGTCCACAGTGAGTGGTGCCATTATGAACTTTACTTTGTCCACCACAACCTCTTCCGTGAAACTTTTTTTTTTAAGATTTTATTTATTCATGAGAGACACACAGAAGAGGCAGAGACACAGGCAGAGGGAGAAGCAGGCTCCATGCAGGGAGCCCGACGTGGGACTCGACCCCAGGACTCCAGGATCACCCCTGGTCCGAAGGCAGGCACCAAACCACTGAGCCACCCAGGGATCCCCAAAAGTTCTGATTACATAATTTTTACCCTAACCCTAGAGGCAGAGACAGGCAGAGGGAGAAGCAGGCTCCCTGCAGGGAGCCTGACGTGGGACTCGATCCCAGGACCCCAGGATCACACCCTGGGCTGAAGGCAGGTGCTATGCCACTGAGCCACCCACTCTGCCCTGTAATGTAGTTCTTGACATATATATACAAAGATTCATCACAAGATAATGTAAATCTCTCCCAAAAGCCTTCCTCCAAACGCTTTATAATCCCTGTAATCCCCTCTTCTCGCATCCGCAAACTGTCCCTAGGTTGTCACTGATGGAACTTTTTTCAGATGTAAATGGTACTTGGGGATGGGATGGAGCTTGGAGCATGGGGTGAGACCTGAGTTGAAGGAAGCAGGGCTAGGGCACAGATACCCATGTAGATCATGACTATGAGGTGGGATATCATTAAAGAATTCCATGAAAGAATGGAAAGCTCTTAAGTTTTTAAAAGCTCACACTACGGGCACCTGGGTGGCCTAGTTGGTTAAGCATCTGACTCTTAATTTCAGCTCAGGTTGTGATCTCAGGAGGTTGAGCCCTGCGTCAGGCTCCACACTCAGTGTGGAGCCTGTTAAGGTTCTCTCTCTCCCTGTGCCCCCTCCCCCTGCTGGCCCACTCAGTCTCTCTTTAAAAAAAAAAAAATATATATATATATATATATATATATATATATATATGATATTTATTTAATAGAGAGAAAGTAAAAGCAAAAGGGGCAACAGGCAGGGGGAGAAGCAGACTCCGTGCTGAGGGAGGAAGCCCAATGTGGAGCTCGATTCCAAGACGATGGGATCATGACCTGAGCCGAAGGCGGATGCTTAATTGCCTAAGCCACCCAGGTGCCCCAACACAAAAAAAATATTTTTTTATAGCTTGGGCTAACTGCCATGTGGAGGATTTAGGGCTGGAGCTAACAGGTTAGGAACAGCAGGATGGAAATAAGACAAGTTTAAAGTAACTAGATTGAACTGAGGGGAGGATAATGAGGAAGACAGGTGGATGTTCTACAGGCTTGGAGGAAATCGAGTTTAAAATGTTGGGGGGGGGATCCCTGGGTGGTGCGGCGGTTTAGCGCCTGCCTTTGGCCCAGGGCGCGATCCTGGAGACCAGGGATCGAATCCCACTTCGGGCTCCTGGTGCATGGAGCCTGCTTCTCCCTCTGCCTGTGTCTCTGCCTCTCTCTCTCTCTGACTGTGTGCCTATCATAAATAAAGAAAAAAAAAATTAAAAAAAAATGTTGGGGGCGCCTGGGTGGCTCAGTCAGCTAAGTCAGACTCTTGATCTTAGCTCAGGTCTTGATCTCAGGGTCCTGAGCTCGAGCCCCACATGGAGCCTACCTAAAAAAATACAAATAAAACCATTTTGTGATTTGTAAGTTGTTGCATGAATGTAAGGTGATGATGCTAAGTCAGATTCCTTCATCTTGTGTGGAAACTCCAGGAGCTTTCAGAGTCGGCTTGACTTAGAGTTTGCCAGTGACCACAGGGAGTTTGATTTTGTGCTCTCTTTATTTATTTATTTATTTATTTATTTATTTATTTATTTATTTATTTATTTATTTATTTTAATTTTTATTTATTTATGATAGTCACACACAGAGAAAGAGAGAGGCAGAGACACAGGCAGAGGGAGAAGCAGGCTCCACGCACCGGGAGCCCAATGTGGGACTCGATCCGTCTCCAGGATCGCGCCCTGGGCCAAAGGCAGGCGCCAAACCACTGCGCCACCCAGGGATCCCTGTGCTCTCATTATTTAATGGCTGTATAGCCCATGTTGATCCTCACATACTTTGTTCATTATACCATTGTAAATCAAACAGAGTGAACAGTTTGCCCTTCCATCGGTTTGTGTTTTGTACAGATAACTTTTGACCTGGTTTTCCAAGGACTTGCCCTTCTTTTTTTAATAGTAAATTTTTTGCTTTTGTATATGTATTTCTGCTAGCTTTGCAGGTAACATGGCTAAAAGCTTACGGAGTAAGTGGAAAAGGAAGATGCGTGCGGAAAAGAGAAAAAAGAATGCCCCAAAGGAACTCAGCAGACTAAAGAGTATTCTTAAAATGGATAGTGATGTTTTAATGAAAGATGTTCAAGAGATAGCCACCGTGGTGGTACCCAAACATTGTCAAGAGCAAACTCAGTGTGTAGTACAAGATGAAAAAGGTGAGTTTATGTGCTTCGTTTTAAAAATAATAATTCTATTCATTTCCTTTTGTGACTCTTTTTCCCTTTTTTGACTATCCTCCGTTCTTTCCTGCACATACTTCCCTATGAACCTCCTGCCATGTCCATATAATTCTTTGAAGGCTTAGAGTGCTGCTAGAGATTCTGTGCTAAACTATTTATTTATTTATTTGTTTGTTTATTTATTTATTTATTTTATTTTAAAGATTTCATTTATTTATTCATGAGGGACACACAGAGAGAGGCAGAGACACAGGCAGAGGGAGAAGCAGGCTCCCTGCAGGGAGACTGATGCGGGACTCGATCCCAGGACTCCAGAACGACGCCCTGGGTGGAAGGCAGACAGACGCTCAACCACTGAGCCCCCCAGGTGTCCCTGTGCTAAACTATTTTAAAGCTGGTTCATGTGACTAGGCATATTCTGGGCTACTCAGAGTGTGCCTTTGGTGCTTATACAATATCCTGAGTGCCTCAGAAATATTACAACAGGAGTAGACAAATGTAGATGTATCCTCATTGGGAAGGTACACTATTCAGTTAGGGACTAGGCAAGATAGATCTCTCTTCATTTTATCCTTCACAAGATCTAGTTCCCATTCAAAGAATCCTTATATGCCACTAAATTATTTTCCTGAAAAATCAAAGTTTTCATGTATGTGATTTTGAAAGATTCTAGGTATCTCTGTCGTAATCACAGTCTAAAGTTGGAGGCCTGTATGTTACTAGCTTCAGCACAGGAAAAGACTCATTGGTTTTTACATCCTCATAAAAACAGTTTGGCAGCAAACTGAAATAAGCGTGCATAATAATCAGGCTCTTAAAATAGAAGTATATTTGTGTGGTGTTCAGTGCAAGGAAGAGAGTGGTGATCCTCTGTCTCGCAGTCCTAGAAACTTTCCCTCTTGCTGATATTCCCTCAAAGGCCAGTTCCTCCCCTTGTGTTCTGAATCTTCTCCATTCCCAGGGGCTGTACTCACGCATCCTGCTTATCGGTCTCTCTTCTCCACTGGGTCATTCAAACAGGATAAATGTGTTCTGAAATGTCCATTCTCAAAAAGAAAAAAAACAAAAAAACAGGTTTACATGTTTCCCCTTATTTCGTTTCTTTCAACTGACTACCCAGTTTCTTAAGCTTCAAACCTAGTAGTTACTTTGATCTCTCTTATCTCCCAGTTCTAAACCATTAGCACATCTTGAATATCTCCAAAATACAGCAGGAATCTGTCCATTTTCCTCCTCCTTTCATGTTTTCACTTTTTTTTTTCATGTTTTCACTTTAAAATGACCATTATCTCTTGCTCAAACCAAGGTAGTAGCCTTTTTATTTCTCTCTTCCGCTCTTGCTCCCTTTTGATTAACTTTTGACATACCAACTGGTACAATATCTTTGGAATATTTGGCAAATTATGTTATTCCCTTGCTTAACACATCTCATTGTCTTTCCGTGTTTTCATCAGAGCCTACCTACCAGGTCCTACTTAACCTGGTAACATAACTTCTTTAAAAAAAGCCACTTAACACAGGCTGCAGGTGTTATGCAGCTTTGTTATGCTCCCTTCAACAGAACATTGTAAGCTCCGTGACAGCAAGGAGCACACTTGGACCACTATATCCCCAGAACCTACAACAGTATCTAAAATAATCATTCAGGGGCACCTGGCTGGCTCAGTGGTTGAGCGTCTGCCTTTGACTCAGGTCGTGATCCCGGGGTCCTGGGATCGAGTCCCACACTGGGCTCCCCACAGGGAGCCTGCTTCTCCCTCTGCCTGTGTCTCTGCCTCTCTCTCTGTGTGTCTCTCATGGACAAATAAATAAAATAAAATATATTTTAAAAAAATAAAAGTAACCATTCAGCAACTAGTTATTCAATGGCTAATATATAGCAGGCACTATCCTAGGTGCTGAGGAAACAATGGTAAATATCAGAGAAATGGCCTCCATGCTGATGGGATTTACATCATATCAGAGGAGACCAAAAGTAACCAGATAAACCAATTAATATAATGTCAAGTCAGGTAGTAGAGATCATGGAAGACTTCCTATACCCTTGTGAGTTACCTGGGAGAGACATTCTGGGCATATCCTTCATAGCCTGGTTGACCGAACTTCCTGCCAGGTCTTCTATTTAGTGGAGCTGGATCTTTGTTATCTGGATAATTCAGTGTTACCTGGAAGAGTGGCAGCTCAGTGTATATCCGGGTTTTTCTTTCTTTTTAATATACTTGTGTTTTTAAGTAAACTACACCCCCAACGTGGGGCTCAAACCCATGACCCCAAGGTGAAGAATCCCATGATCTACCACCTGAACCAGCCAGGCGCCCCTATATCCAGGTTTTCTTTTCTTTTTCTTTTTTTTAAGTTTTAAGTAATCTCTACCCCCAACATGGGGCTTGAACTCAGGATCCTGAGATCAAGAGTCACTTGCATCTCCCACTGAGCCAGCCCAGCACCCCTGTCCAGGTTTTTCATTGTCATCTGCCCATCTCTGCTATCACAAGCTTGTTGCTTACTACTGCACTTCATTAGACATGGCCAGCTGTTCCTAATAGTTGATTTGCTTCTACAGCCTATCCATTAAAAGTGTGATTGCACTTAAATAGGCTCACCTGTCTTATTTAGCTTAAGAAAGCACTTAATCTGAGAAATGTTCTTATAACTCACATGTGCTCACAGCTATACACTCATTCTTCATGCAGTAGCTCGAACCCGTATATCCTAGATGTTTTCTATTTAACTTTTATTATTCCAAAGATGGACACTCGTGACATTCTTCAGAAAGTTTCTAAGTGGATCACCCAGGTGGCTCAGTGGTTGAGCATCTGCCTTTGGCCCAGGGTGTGATCCTGGGGTCCTGGGAGGAGTCCCACATCGGGCTCCCTGTGTGGAGCCTGCTTCTCCCTCTGCCTGTGTCTCTGCCTCTCTCTCTCTGTGTCTCTCAGGAATAAATGAATAAAAAGAAAGTTTCTTAGTGACCAAACAGATGACATCTCTAGTTCTTCACAAAACTTCTTGTATCTTTCATGGTTTAGGAATACCTGGGAGCGTATCCATTGAATGTTCTGTGAGTTTTCAGTGTTAGTCAAAGAACATTCTGCAGGAAAAGGACTTGTTCCTTTTGTAGTTTCAGACGACTTTCAATTCTGATGTTCTCATTGCATTAACACGCTTTTTCACAAGATTGTTTCTTCATTCATGAACATTAGTACTTTTCCATCTTTTATTCAGATGACATGAAAATGGAGACTGAAATTAAGAGAAACAAAAAGAGCCTTCTAGACCAGCATGGACAGTACCCCATATGGATGAACCAGAGGCAAAGGAAAAGGCTAAAGGCAAAGCGAGAAAAAGGGAAGGGGAAAAGCAAAGCCAAAGCAGCAAAGGCAGCGAAGGGTTTGGCTTGGTAGACTCTTAAACACCTGAAAAATCCTACGCGGGACTGGTCTTTGATTAGAATGTATACACGGATTTCAACTTCACCAAATGAAAACTTGGTTTCCGTATTTAACTTGGCCTTGCTCTTCAATTCAAACCCAACTTAACTCCTCGAATTTGTTTTGGGAGCTTGAATAAAATATTTTTTTGATGAATGAAAGCTACACTGATATTTTAACTGGATGCTGTCTATTGTGCAGGGATTCTCAGACATCACTATTCTATCAAGTGCTATTGTGGTTGTAACTGGTCTTAGTAAAGATATCTAAAAGAAGATATACTGACATATTTGAGGTAATTCTGGTTTAGAGAAAACTTTCACACAATTTAAAGTATAAAGTCAGTGGATCTTTTAAGCACTACTTGTTTGGAGTTTTGATTTTGTTTAATTGAGAATAAAAGATATTTTGTCTAGATCTTAAAGAGCTTTTTCTTTCATCTATCTTTAACGTTTTCTAGCAGTAGAGAAGACCACCTTCCTCAATTAAATTGTTAAAAAAAAATCTTAAGGTTTTTGGTAGAATATTAACATCTACAAATTAATATGCTCCATCTTTTTAGGAGTTAGAACATCCTGGGAACTACTTCAGTGTTCTTTAGTTTTTATCTGATGTAGCCTAACATAACACAGTATTCCCTAGAGTATGTTTCTCAGAATCCGTTTTTTTGAATGCAGGGTGAGAAATACATTTCATACTCATGTCAATTTGGGAAATGGTGCATGCTTGAAGATCCACAAAAAGTATTAGTTCAACATAGTGTTCTAGAGATCTAACAGTAAAAAAACCGATTCAACTTTGACTCTTTCAAACTAGTGTTCTGAAGAACAGAATATACTGTTGGAACTGCTGGTAAGATGCAATGCTTTTCATTAAGTCCATCTTGCTACAGTTCACTAATTTCACTCTTACTTAAATTTATTTATTTAAAAGATTTTATTTATTTGAAAGATAGGCAACAGAGCACAATTGGGCAGGAAAGGGAGAAGAAGCAGGCTCCCCACTGAGCAGGGAGCCCAACATAGGGCTCTATCCCAGGACCCCAAGATCATGATGTGAGCCCAAGACAGTTTGATGCTAAGCCGACTGAGCTCCCCTACATTTATTTTTGTTAAGCAATTTAAACTTTGTATTCCCTCTGCAATTTTACTGTAGTTCTGTTCTGTTACATGTTCATCTGTTAACTATCCTTATATGTTCACTGGAATAACATCGGGTCCATATCGTGTGCTAGGAACTTTTCTGTGCACAGGACCTAAGCAAGGAGACCGAGGAGGTTTTGACCTTATGGGCATCTACTCACAAGAGGCTGTTAGCCTTAGAGGAAAATCAAGTTAAAAGTGAAAATCTATTTGAATAAGGTCACTTAGTCATCAAGTCACAGATTTATGGCAGGCACAGTGCTAGGCTGTGACACCATATAGAGAGAAGTAGGAGGACATGACCTCTAAGTCTTTAAGGAGATGTGATTCTATAAAATTTCATACCAATAAAATATTAAAATTATGTAATAGAGTTGTCAGTTTACTCAGTAATTAGTTCACCAAAACCCTGGTGGATAATTTTTATTTTATTTATTTTATTTAAATTTTTTTATTTTTATATTTTTTATTTTTTTTTTATAATTTTTAAATACTTAAAATCGTTTTCTCAAAAGAACCTGATAGAAAATAGTTGGAAAATAAATGTTATCCATGGCCTTTTTGCCTTCTGGTCTGGTTATGAACTACAGATAGTTTGTGAGGAAAAAGAGAATACATAAATGTGTATGCATGAAACAAAGTTGCTAACGTGAAGCCAGTGACCATATCAGCCTAAATGTACTAGGTTACTTACTTTTTATTCCATCATAGGAATTGACTGCATTAGTGATGTTGCATAGTTGGTGCTTACCTAAAATGTAGCAGCACTGGCTGGTATTTGGTAGCTGGATTTTCTTTGAAATCAGAGGCCAGTGCCAGGGATATGGTCATGTTCTCTGTGGCTGATAACTTCTAATTTGACACCAATGATGAGCTTTGAGCTCTCATCCAAGGCCTCCATGTTAGGATGCTCATGTAACATATGTCCAGTTATGATACTGGTCTATTCAGGATTTTGCTTAACAAAATAAAACACTGTTGAAATGCTTACTTGGGAAGCATGCTCTCAAATATCTGATGGCCTCTCAAAAAGATGGCTTTTTTTTTTTTTAAGATTTTTTTTATTCATAAGAGACAGAGAGGCAGAGACACAGGCAAAGGGAGAAGCAGGCTCCATGTAGGGAGCCCAACATGGGACTCGATCCCGGGACTCCAGGATCACACCCTGGGCTGAAGGCAGATGCTCTCAACTGCTGAACCACCCAGGGATCCCAAAAAGATGGCTATTAAAGAGAAATTGCCTAGCGCTGGTGTAACGGGTCTCTGAGGCCTCCTGAACTATACTGCCAGCAAGATTCTTCCCACCTCCAAAGTTTGGCAGGGAATTTAGACTGACATTCCAAAATGAATGCAGGGGTACAGTCACATCTTTGTTGCTTTATTCTTTAAGGTCGTACATTTAGTGTAGCATAGTCTTTTAATCTTTTAAGTGATTCACTTATCTCTTTGAAATTTGTCATTTGCTTAACTCATGTTTCCCAGAGAATCGTAAAACCACCAGATGGAGCTCACGCTAAGCACCAAATCATTTTTGGGATTAAGAGTGGGCTAAAAACACAGTATGAATTGAATATGACATTCTATTTTTGTTTTTAAGAAATTAAATTTTAAAATAAGGACAATCAAGATCATTTTCATTTATTTGTTATTAAATAGGCCTTGGTCTATATTATTTAATCCTAAACTCTCCAAAGTATAACTCATTTAATTCTCCCAGCAATACCTATTTTTGGTTCAATCCATTGTGCAGGCTCAGGATTTATGGACCTTTTCTCAAATTTCAGCCTAACGCAGACTGGAGCTCCGTAGGTGGTTCTCCCGTAGAATGGGCTGACCCAGTTCTAAAGGTGTGGCCCACAGTCCATGGTGCCAGAGCTCCCAACCAGAGAAGTTACGGGAACTGCAACTGAAACTAAGGCAGAGTCAAGTTAGTGGGTTTGAGCACATCTTTTTTTTTTTTTTTTTCTGGTGTCACACTGATGTAGATATTCTTTTTTCCTCCACTAGTTCACGTGCTGCCTAGAATAAATAGGCAGCAGAATATATTTGCTTCTTAAGAAATTTGGGTATTTTGAACGTGTAGATTTATATGTCTGGGGTATGATTTCCGGGAGTTGGAGAATGAAGAATAACTGGCTCTACATGCCTTGGTTTATATATCTGAAACAGGTTGTTTGTGATCATGAGGGTTAGGGATGTATAGGTTAGATCATTGAAGCGCTGGCCACAAAATAAATGGGAGGAATCCAAAGAGATGTCAAGGAATTTTCAAATGTATAAATACTGCAATTGAGAAGCCAATGTTGGGCTGTTGGCTAAGCTTACTAGCTAAGTGACGGGCGTCTAGATGCCACCTGGCAGAGCGATGGAAATCCGTGCTGGCCACAAGATGGAAAACTTTTTCCCTGGAAGACCATTGCAGCAGACACATACTAATCTTACAAGGAAATGTTGGTGGGGAGGGGTGTATATGGAGCACTGCTAAGCGCTCATGCCAGGTCAAAGGCCACTCTGCTGTTCCAGGGCCCTGTGAGCTAGCAGGAGAGCCAGGGCCAGATTTTGTGTCTACTTATTTTTTTTTATTTTTTATTTTTTTTTAATTTTTATTTACTTAGGATAGTCACAGAGAGAGAGAGAGAGGCAGAGACACAGGCAGAGGGAGAAGCAGGCTCCATGCACCGGGAGCCCGATGTGGGATTCGATCCCGGGTCTCCAGGATCGCGCCCTGGGCCAAAGGCAGGCGCCAAACCGCTGCGCCACCCAGGGATCCCTTGTGTCTACTTATTAAAAAAAAACCCTAAATTTTGTGGTTGAATGCCAAGTGTTGTCACCTGCTTTATTTTTTTAAAGCTCTTATTAATTTATTCATGAGACAGAGAGGCAGAGACACAGGCAGAGGGAGAAGCAGGCTCCATGCAGGGAGCCCTACGTGGGACTTGATCCTGAGACTCCAGGATCCTTGGCCGAAGGCAGACGCTCAAACGCTGAGCCACCTGGGCTTCCCATATTGTCACCTACTTTATTTAGAACAGGAGAAAAACATGTGATGTCAAGTAAGACTGATTTGGCAAAGTGATGGTAATGTTAACAGCCAACATTGAGGGAATGTCGTGTTAAATGCTTCACTCATATTATTTAATCCTTGATACTGTGGGATCAATACTCTTCTCCCAATTTTCAGATGAGGAAGGAGCTCTGAAGAGGTGAGGGTGGTTGCCCAAAGGTAGCACACCTATGAAGCTGGAGCCAGGCCGCCCTAGACTGCAGAACGAGTGCCCCCGATGGGACGCTTCAGAGAGTCGTACCTTGGCTCAATCTAAGGAAGAACCTTCTCACCAAAATGGAACATGGAGCCCCGAGTAGCCTTTGAGGTACCATCCCGACCAACGGTGACCAGCCACGTGGTTGGAACAGAGCAGAACAGATTCAAACACTGTACCTGGAAATTGAGTTGAAAGCTGCTAAAGTCCTTTTTAGGTAAACAATGCCTTGCAGGAAGTTGTGTCTGAAATGTGCTTATTTCACTCTTTTTGTACTCTTCTGGTGCTACACGATTACAGACTCAAGCCTCCTCTTTGGTGGAAATAACAAAATCTGAAATCTTAAATTTGTTAATGTTGTTAAGTCTGGTATTTATTCCTCTGCGTTCCACTTTAAAGTACAGAAGAACTTTATAAACATCTGCTTTAAACCATGAATGGGGTAAAGTTCTGCATTTTAATTTCAAGAATGGCATAGTTTTACAATACATTGTTTATAATATGCAGAATGTATTTAGTTTCCCCGAGCGATGACTTGCCCTGGCATTGTGCTATCTTATGAAACACTTTCTCACTCTCACATTGTGTCTCTATAGTTTTCAATATGAGTGAAACCTTTAAACAGTCTTAGTTGGGTGTTGTGTATCACTGTACAGTAACTGCTAGTACATATGGTATTTCTGATCCGTGTAATAAAGTACATTTGTCATGTATCTTGTGATCTGCATACCTTTCAGCTGTTACTTCATAAATCTGTTCCATCGGAGAACTGCTTTGTACAGCAATGGTTGAAGCTGCTTTTAATAAACTAATATTTTGTGTCTTTTATATGTAATCAACGGGGAGTATTATAGACTTGTGCCTCTGTGGAGAAACATTCCACTAAACTTCTTTTCTCTTGACAATAATGGGGGAAAAAATAGCTTGGGAAAAGCACAGATGTTCAAGAACACATGTGGTTTGCTCCTAAGAGTCAACTGGAGATCTTCTGTATTGCTCCAAGTTTTTGTTTG